CCTAACCGTGTCCCTGTCTCTATCCCCATTCTGTCCCCACCCTGTCCCACCCTGTCCCCACCCGTGTCCCCACCCTGTCCCACCCTGTCCCACCGGAGCAGCTCAGGGGCTGTCACCCGGCATTAATCCCAAACCCAGCTGCCGTCCCCGTCACTCCCGATCGCGGTGATTGAGCTCCTGAGTACGGAGCCGGGCTCGGAGCTCCGGAGCCGAGATAAATATCGGCATTAAAGCTGTCAGGGCCGGCGCCGCGGCACTCTCACGGTGTCACCGACGGGGTCACCGACGGTGGCACCGCTGGAACCGGGCGCTCCCACTGCCCGCGGCTCCGCTTCACCCCATCCCGCTGCTCCGGGAGGACCGACAGCCCCATGCCCTGCCCTGGCATTTCCCGGGGACGTGGTGGCATCTGGGACCAGCAGTATTCCCTGAATGGAAAGTTCCGGGAATGGGGAAAAGAATGGAAAAAGAAAGGGACAGGGAAACTGAAAACGGAAACTGAAAAGGGAAACAGAAAAGGGAAACAGAAAAGGGAAACAGAAAAGGGAAACTGAAAAGGGAAACTGAAAAGGGAAACTGAAAAGGGAAACTGAAAAGGGAAACTGGAGGAAACAAGGGAGGGGGAGAGGAAGGAAAGGAAAAGAAGATAAACAAAATGGGCATCCCTAAAACCCCTCCAGAGCCTGGCTGGGCTCTGGGGACCCCCTGTGCCCCCCAACCCGTGCCCACCTCCCCGTGCCCGTCCCGCCCCCCGCGCTCCCGCTCGCCCCCTCTTTATTTTTTTAATCAGCGGCGTCGCTTTCTGGCGCCGAAGCGTTTCCCAGCCCCGCACTCAGGAAACCTCATTAACACAGATCAAAAGGAGCTTTTAATGATTTATAAAGGTGCAGCAGTTTGGAGAAATTAAATAATTTAGGTGCTGTGTGTACGGCGGGGTCCCTCCGGACCGCATTACCGGCGAGCCGCGACGCCGTCCCCGCTCCGTCCCACCGCGGCACCGGGGACAACACCGGAGCCTCTGGGGACCGGGAATTGTCACCGCCACCATCCCAGGGGTTGGGGTTGATGGGGACAGAGCGTCCCTTGAATGTCACCTCACCCTGCCAGCGCCAGGCTTTGGCAATGGTGGGACATTGGGATAGTCCAGCACAGCCCGGAGGGAATTTGGGACTCTCCGCCACGGGAAATATTTACCAACGTGGTTAAAATAAACTTTGGCGCTGGTGTGGGGTGGTGGRATGGGGAAATGGGATGGGGTGTGGGGTGGCCGAGCCCGCTGGGCCAAAACTGGCTGGACACAGTTGTCCAGGGGCATCTGGCTCTGACTCCATCCCCTCCCAGCTCCATGAGTGGCTTTTCCCTCTTGAGCAGAGAATCTGGATCAGCCTCCAGGACACTGTGACCATCCCGTGGCCCAAATTCTCCCCGATGTCCCTGTCCAGCTCCCGCCGTGTCCATCCCGCGGGATGACGCTCGGCTCGGGCTCGGCAGCGATTTTGGCTGCCCGAGGAGAAGGAGAAACAAATGGAAAACCGGCTTAAACGTTCCCGGCGTGAAGTCCATTGCCGGCCACGGGCGTGCCAGGAACCAGCCGAGCAGCGGGATTAATGGAGAAAAGAGCTGCTGGAAGGGGTCTGTGGGCGCCTGCGCCCCGGGGACCCTTCCCTGCCACCCCCCCAGCTCCCAGAGCTGCTTTGTCCCCATTTCCCGAGGAGGGGACACCTCTGCAGGGCTGGGRGAGATGGGAGGGGGCTGAATTTCCATCGGGTTGTGTTTAATAGCCCCGGAGAGGGCGGGAGGGCTGGGGGGGGTTGGTTTGGGGGGGCGGGCAGGGGGGGGAGCTGCTGTGTTTTATTTTGCTCTGTAATAGGCTTATTACTCCTGATCACGCTGTGACTATTTGAATGAAGGAGATTTCGGGAGATGAAAGCGGAAGGGAGATTTTTAAGTCTCTCAGCGCCTGGCCCCGCAAGGACGGGTGCCCTTGGAGCGGGGGGGACCCCATACCCAGCCCCCCTGCCTCAGTCCCCCCCTCACCCCTCTGCCCCTGTGAGCCCTGACCGGCCCCCAGCGGTTCCAAACCTCCTAATTTTCCAGCCTCAATTTATTCATGGCCGGTTTATACCCATTTGTTTATGTGCCAACACCGTTCCTCAGCTTAAATAGCTCTTTTCCATCCATAATATCGGCCCCCCCTTCCCYGTATTCCAGCGGGCGCAATCATATCTCTTTTCAAGCTGTTCAGGAAAGAAAAATCTGAATTATTTAACCCTTGGGACACTGGCTGGTCTCGCAGGGTGTGGAGAGACAAATCCGCTTTGTTCCCGCGCTGGGTCGCTGCCCGAATTTGGGAATTCTGGGAGGAGGATGCTGCTGCTCTGAGGGGAAACTGAGGCACTGGGGTGTCCGTGGAGTGTGTGCTGCCAGGTTGTGGGTTGTCCCAGGGGTCATCTCTGGTGATGGGATCATCCCCATCCCATGGCATTGTCCCCATCCTGTGGCATCATTGCTAGTAATGGCATTGTCCTTGTCCTGTGGTGATGGGATCATCCCATGGTGTCATCTTTGGTAATGGGATCATTCCATAGCATCATTCCCTGTCCCGTGGTGTCACCCCTGGTGATGGGATTATCCCCATACCATGGCATTGTCTCTATCCTGTGGCATCATTCCTAATAATGGCATTGTCCTAATCCCATGGCATCATCTCTGGTAATGGGATCATCCCCATCCCATGCCATCGTCCCCATCCTGTGGCATCATTCCTAGTAATGTCATTGTCCCAATCCCACGGAGTCACCCCTGGTGATGGGATCATCCCATAGCATCATTCCCTGTCCCAAGGTGTCATCCCTGGTGATGGCATTGTTCTCATGCCCTTGTGTCATCCCTGGTAATGGGAACGTCTCATGATGTCATCTTTGGTAATGGGATCATCCCATGGCATCATCCCAATCCCATGGCATCGGCTCTGGTGATGGGATCATCCCCATCCCATGACATCATTCCTAGTAATGGCATTGTCCTAATCCTACAGCATCATCCCTGGTGATGGGATCATCCCATGGCATCACCCCAATCCCATGGCATCATCCCAGAAAATGGCATCATCCCCATCCCATGGCGTGGGCGTTGGTGGTGTGATCATCCCAATCCCAAAACATCATCCCCATCCCATGGCATCAGACTGGGATGAACTGGGGAGTTCTGGACACCCCACAGAGTGGGGTACACCGTGCTGAGGGTCCCCACAGACCCCACACCCAGAGGAGGRTGACCCCTCCCCATAGCCCCCCAAAAGTGGGTGACCCTCTCCCCGCAGCTCCCCCACCCCCATCTCCATCTGGGCCATTAATTAGCTTTAATCAGCTTTAATTCAGCAATTTGTCAGACAGGCCAAGGCCCTTGCAGTGAGTTTTTCCCAAAAAATATTATTATTATTATTATTATTATTATTATTATTATTATTCCCCTGATACGTGGGCCCACCCCCCCTCTTCCTACCTTTTCTCAGCCTTTAGTAACGATCATTAAAATAAATAATTTTTTTAAAATAAAAGGCAGCCCAGAAGAAGGTTTTTTTGTTGGTTTTTTCTTTTTTTTCCCCTTTAAATATTTTTTATTGTTCTCCGCGCGTTTGAAAATTGTTTCCCGGTAAATTCCAGCCCTTTGTATTAATTTTACATTTTCCAATGTTACCTTGCCAGGGGCAGGGTTGGCACAACTGGCTCGGGAAAGGAGAGGGAAGGAGAGGGAGAAACCCTGCTCCTTAATTAGCGCGTTCCCTGTGTGATCAGAGAGCTTATGAGGCAGGTAATGAGCTGGAGGGGGGCTGCAGGATGCCCCCATCTCCACACTGCCTCCCTCCTTCCCCCCCTTTCCCGTTTTGGGGTCACTCTCTGCTGCTATGGGGATGGGGAGCCGCTTTTGGGGTGTCTGTGGATGAGGTGAGGCTGTCGCAGCTCTCGGTGAGCCCCGAGATGGTTTTTTTTTTTGGGGGGGGGTTGTGGTTGCTGTCCCTGTCCAATCAGACCCCTCGAGCCCTGGAGGCACGGGGTGACAGTTTTAGGGGGTTTTCTGATGGGGGGAACTTCAAATTCATCATGAAAAATCCTCAATCAATGAGGGATGGGAGCCAAACTGCCCAAATCGGCTCCTGGCGGGGTTGGTGAATTTGGTGAATTTGAGCTCCACTGGCCAGGAGCGCCAAGGATCTGRAATTTGGGGAGGGGGATCACAAGGACCACCCCGAGGAGCTGGAGGAGGGGATGCTGGCAAACACCTCGGAGTTCTCAGTGCTGATGATCCCTTAATCTCTGGGATAAGCAGTGCCAAAAACGCCGGTGACACCGGGATTGCGGCGCTGGGCCGTGGCCGTGCCGGCGCTGCTGGGAATAATCATTTCTGTGTGATTTCCACCCAAATTGTGCTGGTTTGCTGGCACGAAACAAAAGAGATCGGGGTTAATCCGGAGGTTAATGGGGGTGTTGGGGTGGGATCAGACCTTGAATTGTGGAGTGGTGAGGCCCTGGGATGGAATTCCCAGGGAAGCTGTGGCTGCCCCATCCCTGGAAGTGTCCAGGGCCAGTTTGGACAGGGCTTGGAGCAGCCTGGGAYGGTGGGACGTGTCCCTGACGGTGGCAGGGTGGCACAGGATGGTTTGGGTGGGAAGGGACCCTAAATCCCATCCACTGGATGGGATTTAGGGTCCCTTCCCACCCAAACCATCCTGGGATTTGATGATTTCATACATCTCTCGGATCCGATAGTCCAGGATCAGCTGGAGGCACCACTCAATCTCCCGGGAATRGTTCTCCTTGGCTCATTCCTACAAAAAACCAACCTTTTCTATCCCAAAAAGAGCCCTTTTATCTGAGTTCCATCCAACCAGGAGACAGAAACAGAACACCCACGGGGGGTCACAATTCCAAAATCCCTGGGGAGGGTCCCCAAACGAGCCAGACCGATTTGGTGACCCACCCACCCCGACTCCTCCACAGGTTCCACCGCGGCGATTACACGGTGGAGGTGAGCATCAACGACTACCTGGACATCTACTGCCCGCACTACGAGGAGCCCCTGCCCGAGCGCATGGAGAGGTACATCCTCTACATGGTCAACTACGAGGGCCACGCGTCCTGCGACCACCGGCAGCGCGGCTTCAAGCGCTGGGAGTGCAACCGCCCCGATTCCCCCAACGGGCCCCTCAAGTTTTCCGAGAAATTCCAGCTCTTCACGCCCTTCTCGCTGGGCTTTGAGTTCCGACCCGGCCACGAGTATTACTACATCTGTGAGTAGGGGTTGGGAGCGTCCTGGGGGTGTCGGTGACCCCAAAATGTTGTGGGGTTATCCAAATCTTGCAGTGCATCCGGCTTGGGGCAAACATCCCGTGGAAATTTTTGCTGTGGCCAAATCACAGCCGTGGGCGTGAGAGTGACCAGGACTGTCCAGGGGCACTGGCCACACCATGGGCACTGGGAATGGCCCCAGCCCCAGGCAGTGTTCCCGTGATCTCCTGTGTATTCCTGTGCTCTCCCATGTAATTCCCGTGTTCTCATGTATTTCCCATGCTCTCCTGTGCTCTCTTGTGTATTTCTGTGGTCTACAATGTAATTCCTGTGTTCTCACATCTATTCTTGTGCTCTCACATGAAATTCCCGTGCTCTCCAATGTAATTCCCATGTTCTCACGTCTGTTCCTGTGTTCTCGTGTAATTCCTGTGCTCTCCTATGTAATTCCCATGTTCTCACATCTATTCCTGTGTTCTCATGCAATTCCCATGCTCTCCTGTGTGATCCTGTGCTCTCCTGTGTGTTCGTTGCTCTCACATGCAATTCCCATGCATTCACA